TCGGTTAACAATTGTTATTTCACCAGAAGAAAACCACAAAACTACGTAGTAGTGTCGTTTAGTACCTAGTATTATTTACAAAGCATAACTTTTAGGAAAAAAAAAAACAAAAGAAAACACTCAAAGCGATGTTTGACTTCAAAGAATAACATCAACTATAGATTTTATTTTTCGAAAAAAACAATTGTTCTTAATCTTTTTTCATTATTATATTCTTAGTCTTATGTGTTTTATCCTAAATTTTATAATTTCTTCACATCTCCTGCTGTCTTTAAAACAATATACATGTATATCAGTTTGGTTCATAATAAATTAATACAAAGTTTTAACCCTAACCTCATATACTCGTACTTAAAAACGATCATAAGTCGATCTTGAACACGTCGTATAAAAACGCTACTTCTCATAACATATAGAACATTAATACATACGACATCAATATATAACAAGCATTACGAACGCAATAAGCTACCATACGAGAATGCAGATATAAAAACGTGTGAGCACCAACACTGAAACAGTGTTCTACCAACATAAAACGGTATTGGAGCATTGAAAGTTAATTCACAATTTATGACACATTAAATATACAAAGACCTTCACGGTTTTTAACTAGAGATTAAACGTTCAAAAGAAATTATAAGTTTATAATGTAACATCCAAAGAGAGATTTTTGTTAGGACAAATACTATGCAAAATACAATATGAGTGTGGGAATGAGTAGGAAGGGTCTATTTGGGTGCAGCTAATCTTCCACAATTAATCTATTTTCTATACAAATAACTATTCCAGCTCTAAGTAAAGCTTTGTAAAACACTCTGCAGCAATTAATCTGGAACACGTCAAGTATTGGCGAAAGTACGAGTACCTACTCTAAATATTATCTTCACTACCTCTTGCCACCACTCACTTAAATGTAACTAATTATAACAAAGAGGGATACATTAAACAGTTTTCATACATTTAAATTATACGTACCAACCAGTCTAGCTAATTACAGGAATGTTATCCTTACTTGCATCCACTTAAGAGCGACTGTCGCTTGATGTATTTAAAGGGTAATGACAGAACTTTATTAAGGTCGTATTTTGTCCGACGATTTATTTTTGCTCTACGTTTCATTTGTAGAGACATCCCTCATAATTAGAGGGTCCCTACATGTTTGCGTAATCTGAATAAGTACACTTTACAACCTAAGAGTTACGTTTGCGGGTATATTTCAGTTAACTTTACTAATAGATAGCCCCTTTAAATAGTGATAACTTCTTGGATTGTAAAATCATATTTATTCCGACGATGTCCGTCATTCCAGAACAACGTATTTACGGCACATATTTTCGCGTACTACCTGGGGTACCATCTGCTTGTAGGAGTTTTTCCAAAATGCAACGTCGGGACTTTTACGGTTTATTGATATTTTTGAGTAATAAATGTTATCTTAAGAGCCTTTAATAACTGCATGTACTTTGTTTTAATTGTATATTTCCTTCTTAATAAAATCTAAAATAACAAAAACATGTTCAGTGTTATAATTCAGTTACGATAACAATCGCAAACCATAACCACTTTCTTATCGTTGAAATTAAACCAAAACAAAATTATACTTTCAATTATTCGATAAATTACAGAACAACTAAACATTATATATATATTATACGTACGTAGGTTTCACAATTGCAAGAATATAGTCCTATTCCAATTTCAAATTTTTCATTATTATTTTTGGAATAGATATGGTGTGCCGAGTGTTTAAACAATCATACTTAATAAAATTTGTACATACAATGTAGAGTAGTCCATACGGCGATATTTATTCAACATTTAAACCAAAAATTACTCCTGCACAAAAAATATTTTTTGGATAAAAACCAGTAAAGAGAATAGCGCGTTACCAAACAGACTCCTTAGTATGATATTATAAAAAAACGTAATACTCGCCTAAATACTATGAATATTTTATTTTCATAGCCTTCATAAAAACCTTAAAGCCCATACGGACAATACGGTAGGTACAATAAGACAATTAGGGTCAGTAAGTAATGTGACCACGTAGGGACCCTTCGTTTACATCGGACAAAAGGTCAGACTAATAAGATTGTATACTTTGATGTAGGTGGACAATTGAATTCACGAAAATCTTAATGAGATTTTTTATGTTATAACAGATAAGGTTTTTTTTTTAATTTAATGAGATATGAAGTATACATATTTTGGTCATTTGGATCAGACTTCTGTATCTTTAATGCCTAACCTAGCCTAATTTTTGTATGAAAATAGCTTCCATAATTAACTTAAATGTTCTTTAGACGTTTATTAATTAAAAATAATTTATTTACTAAAGCCGATAATCACAAGTCCATAAATGGCTATTATTGTGTTAATAACAATAATCTCCTAAATATTATATTAGTACTAGCTGCCCCCGCGAACTTCGTTTCTCATTTATGTGATTTTACTTAGCCTACCAATGTAATACATACGAACTTGGAACATTTTGCTATACTACCCCAGAGTCTGTTAGATTTTCTGGAATGACAACTTTTTATTTCTGTGTATTTTTCTCTATATAATACTCAGAGTTCAGGTCATAAAATTTTAATTAACAAATAAAAAATAGGGGTTGATCGTAGAGGGGTGAAAATTAAGGGTGGTGTGTATTTTTGTATGCTGCATCATAAAAAAATGCCCAAAAAAAATAAAAATAAAATGTTAGAGGTGGACAGGACCACCCTTATTACTTAGGGGTATGAAAAATAGTAGCCGATTCTCAGACCTACTGAATATGCATATAAAATTTGATAAAAACGGTCAAGCCGTTTCGGAGGAGTATGGTAACTAACATTGTGACACGAGAATTTTATATATAAGATATCAGCTTTAAAGTATATTCAATCATAAAATTAAAAATTAATTATAAAATCACCTCCGCACCACCGCAACAAAACCACACACAGTCCATTGCAAGGTCCTATGTTATCCAGCCTTTTCGATATTACCGCCAGCATGCTCTTAGGCCCGCACAGAGATACAGCTCGCTTGCGCATGTTAACGTAAAAACAGTCCACACCAGCCCTGCGATTCTATAACTCACTTTTCGAACTCACACAGCGGTTTTCGCATCGGCGGATTTGAGAACGACCGCCGATGCGAAAACCGCTGTGTGAGTTCGAAAAGTGAGTTACAGAATCGCAGGGCTGCACAACCAAATATCGTAGACGCACTGCAAGTTGCAACAGCGTGGGGGACCCCCATTAACATTCTAAATGCGGATTTTTATTACGCGCTTAGGTATACTGTTGTCAATTAATATAATGCCATTTTATTGCAGAAAAGTAAACGTATGTTTAAAATACAATTTATTTGAACACTTATGAATGTAAAAAAAAATTCATTTTCTGCCATTTCCTGTATCAACGATAACTGGCAATAAACTCCTCGACTTTTATAAATAACGCCAGACCTAAAAAGTAAAAGTGAAAAACAATTATTTTGGACTCACTATATTAAATATAAAACGAACGCTTACAAAACCGTTTTAAACAATTTATTGATAATTGCTTGCTTCATATTTCAAATTGATTTCAGTCGGAATATAAATACGTAGAAAATTGTTTAATTAAGAGCGCTGACTAATTAACTAGCTTCATACTTTCGTTTACAGTTAAAAGGACTGTAATTTTTGAAAACTAGGTCAATTTATCAAATTGCGAAATATGTATTACTATAAATGAAATTGCCTATACATAAGGTTTTTGAGTCTTACCTCGCTATATTCAAATTATTTTAATCCGAATTGTTAACGTAACGCTAAGTAGGTACCTACATAGTAGGTATGTATACCTACATTGAATTAGGCGAAAATTTATTATAAACTAGCGGCCCGTCCCGGCTTCGCACGAGTGGACTTTTTTAACATCTTTTGTAGATATTGATCTGATCTTTAATATTGCGGAACATTCAACATCAACATCAATCGTTTTCGCAGCGCATGGGATGAAGGATATTTTATAGGCGTTTTTTACATTATTGTGATTAAGGATCTTTATTTTTTTCTTTCGTTACAAACATACTTACATACAAATCTTTCCTCTTTATAATATTAGTATAGATTAGTTTACACTAACACTAGGTACGAGGTATATGAATGCATCACACCATGACTAGGGAGCATATCAGTTTTTTTTTAAATTAGTGTTAATTAAATAAAAGTAACCGCTAATGTCATAAACGTAACTTTATTTTAAACACAACATAACTAATGTTAAACAAAATGTCTTAAACAGTAAATCTAAACAGATTCAAATACAAACAGGTCAAATAATATCAATTTTAAATTTAACACAATCTAAGGCGCGATATTATTGGCCCAAAAACTAAATAAAGAAACTATTTTAATATTTCTTATGGATAGACAGCAATCAATTCGAGTTTCATACATCGATATCAATTTTTATACAAAAGAATTGAGAAATTAAACATTTTATGTCGATTATATATGTATATCGATTAGAATTAACCACGAATAAAAACACTAAAATTGGAATGTACGATGTCTTTTGCATCAATGTAAAATGGCATAATATCAATTATGATAGACAAAACAAAGATATCAACTTTTTATTTCTTAATTAATACTTATTCTACATGTGATGTAAATAGAGAATTCATCTGAGGATCACACAGTTATAACGAACCTACACCATAAATATAATACTTTCAAACCTTAAAACTAATAAGGCACTGCTGGTTACAATCTTACCAATCATAGCATTTTCGACTATACAACCATATTAATAAGGATTTGTAGCTAACAGTTTTTGTGATTAAATATCTTAGTTATATTTGAAGTCAAATGGAAAAATGAATGATTCAATTGTTTTTCAAAACTATTGGTAAGATTATTAATCGAAAGACGATTAACAATGATTCTGTAAGTACATTAAGTAGTAATAAATACACGCAGTTAATTGTCTATTTGAGGGCAGTCTCTGAGAGGCTTTTCAGTTCAATGTCTTAGCATCTTGGATCCTCTGTGCGGCTTGTAATGTGTTATGCATCAGCATTGCAACTGTCATAGGACCCACTCCTCCAGGCACTGGTGTTATTGCACCAGCGATTTTGACAACCTCTGCGAGAAAAGCAAGGTGCTATTTTTACACGGATTTTTTTAATAGTCGGTAAAATACTAACTTTTATCCGTTGTTGATAAAACACACTGAATAAACTACTAATTAATGCAGAACAAATTTTAAAAGAAAATTTTCAAATATTCGTAAGCTAAATAAGAGATCTTTCTCGAAAAACTATACGAACTGTATTGTGGAAGTAATGTATTTGTAGAAGTAGAATTATGAAATAATTTTGTGATTCATATCATACAATGACTTACCGTCATAGTCGACATCGCCGACCAGTTTTGTCTTCCCCTGTTCATCAGTAATTCTTGAAATCCCTACATCTATCACTGTAGCACCAGGCTTTATCATATCAGCTTTAATGAGTTTTGGTACACCTATTGTAAAAACATTAAATGTTTATGTTTTAATTCAAACCAACTACGGATTTATTGTCAATTCTTAATAAATGTATTTAACACAAGTAAAGTCAAGCAAACTTTGTACAGTTAAAGATTAAATAATAATTCTAGTCAATAACAATATATTTCAAATTGTTCTAGAATGGTGTAATCTATAGATCAGATTACAAAGAATAGGTTAAAAAGCTTACCGGTAGCAGTTATCACAATGTCAGCGTTCCTACAAAACGTAACTAATTGTTCACGTGGCGTGTATCGGTGGCAAATAGTCACTGTGGCATCCATACCTAGACCGCTGTCATGATTTCTGTCACTATGCAACATCATAGCTATTGGCATTCCTACATTCTTTGAGCGCCCTACAACCACAGCGTTACGCCCAAATGTATCGATTTTAAACCTAAAAGAATTTGAAGCATGTGAACATTGATATTACATACTCTTTGAATGTAACTGTTTGCGATGCCTTTAATATAATATTAGGAATTGTTAAAATTTTATAAAAACGCTGTTGTTAATTAAGAAAATGCTAAAGTCTTTAAATAGTGTTGATTTTATTGTTGTTATAATAATGTAACAAAATGTGTAAAGAACTGTATAAGTATATAGTTTAATTAAATTTCTTATCAAATGTCATTAAAAATTCTATAATATGTAAAAATTTTATTGTATTATATTATGGAAAATGGAAAAAAAACTTACCGTTTTAACATCTCAATTACGGCCAAGGCAGTAGCAGGGACCATGGTAGGCATATCTAAACAGAGCTGTCCAACATTTATTATATGAAATCCATCAACATCCTTTTCAGGAGCCACGGCATTGCAAATTTTCCTTTCGTCCATTGCACCAGGCAAAGGTAATTGCACCAGAATACCATCCACAGCTTCATCCTTATTTAGTACATCAATTTTTGCAAGTAGTTCTTCCTGACTTAATGTCTCATCATACTTGATTGTTTCGGCAGCAATACCCACAGCTAAGGCTGCTTGAATTTTGTTTCTCACATATGTCTGGCTAGCTGGATCATCACCAACAATAATACAGCGTAAAGAGGGAGCTCTGTTACCTAGGCTTACCCAATTCTCTATTTTAACTTTCAATTCTTCTTTAATATCACTGGCAAGGCCTTTACCATCAAGGATACGGGCCATAATGCTGTAACAATATAAAAAATAACTTATTTCTCCTGCTAGATATTAGAATAAGTTATGTGAGCCTTGATATATTTTATATAGATAATTATGGTTGCTCAAAATCTCTTAAATCAAACACCTTAATAATTCAACACTCATAAGTTACAAAGTATAGTCTGGTGCATCACTACCTACATAGCACATAAATGTATGTATAGTTAGTGCAACAAAAAACCATTGTAAATATCAAATTAAAATAAGCATTTTTACTTTTTTTTATAACTACTTAAGCTTTCAATTAAAAAAAAAAGAAGCACACAACAGGTATTAAATATATTATATAGATTTACCTGGGAAAACCCATTGAATCAATATATGTGTGACTTCTCATTGTGGCTTTCAAACTTGTACTGATTATGCGTAAACATATTGTTAGCCTCATCACTTACTGTTGACGTACATAGTTCATTAGGTCAATCACTTGATAAAAATTATTATGATGAAAAAAGACCAGAAACAGAACCAATATTTGTAGATTTAAGCGGTTTCAGCTTGCTTATAAATAATTAACAGTAAAGGTTAATAGTTTAGCATATCAGTATGGTACACCACAAAATATAAACCCTGATAGTAGAATCCACAAAATACTGGTCTCAACAGTGTCAAAAGATCATGAGACCAATTATTTAGCTAAATAAAAAGTATATATCCATTTATCAAGATAAATATTTAAAACAATGTTTGTGTATTTCCTAATTTATTTCAAGTTTGTATAGCATATTGTAAAAAAAAATCTATCTCAGATCTATTCATAATATCTGTCAGCAGATATATAACATTAAATAGATGGAATTAAACAACGTTAATGTTTTCAAAACTTTTCAATGACAATGGTAATACTTATATATACTACTCGAATTCCTTTTAAATTTCAAATCTTGACTTTTCTTAATAATTGCCTTGTTTTACGTAAACACTTCATTCTTAGTACCATATCATGATAATATGGTATAGCCCAGTACTAAAACTATTCCATAAACATATGTTTAGACCTACAAGATAATTACTGGCCTAATGATAACCTATAAAGTATACATGTTTATTTTTAATTGCGGAACTACTCACATGTGCTTCTTTAGACAGCGACGAAACAAAATTAGTGAACAGTACCTACCTATGGACGTTTATGGTAATGAAATCACTTATATGAGTACTTGCAAACTTTCTTTTAGTTTTCAAGTTTTCCAACTTTTCACCCGATACATTCACTATAAAGAGTGACACTGACATTTGCAAATTGACATTTGTGATGCGATATTTTACGTTCCGTTCTATGAAAGTACCACCACAACTACGTAACAGGTAATTGCATTTTTTACAATCATTATTCACATCTTGATGTAAATAGGTACTCTTTAGGAATAATTGTAATATTATTAAAGATAAATAATAGTATGAATTAATAAAAAATTATATTTTCAAATTAAAAGAATTTAGTGTTCAATACATGGTAATTACCTATATTGTAAATAATTGGAAAAAATAGGTTTAGTAAATAATGTAAAAATAAATGTTGTTGAAACAAATAAAGAAATACAATAATATTCGATCAAAATGGTATGCTTAAGTATGAGATTAATAAATAATATAGGTAACTTTTACCAAGTGATTCGATATATTATTATTATTATTAAGATGACGCCGTAAGATTAAGAAAAACAATAATATTTATTTAAAAAATAGATTTTTAAATTAGTTGTTAAAGTTGACAAATGTTAAAATTAAGACAGTATAAACGTTGCTTTATGACTTATGCGAGAGATACAACTAATATCACTAAGTAAGAATATGTTTTTATTGCATTCACTTGTGGACAATCATGAGAGACATTGAACTATACCGCTATCAGACTTGCGTCAGAGACGAGCCCTATGACGTTTTATTGATAATATTATTTTCCGACATCGCAGGGGGTTTGATAAACGTGAATAACATATTTATCACTTTTACACTGCATGTGCAGTGTACAATTATTATTTGCGATTTAGGTTTTACAATTTGTGTCTATAATGTTCAAAGTATTTCCTCTAATTTAGGTTCATTTATTTTGTTACAAAAAGAAAATATTATATACCTACATATTATGTCCTAATTAAGTAATTATTGTTAAGTTTCATCACAAATGAATAATTCGCAGTTTAAAACATTATGATATAATATTGTTATAATAATCCTTCCTAGTTTGTTAAACTTTGAACTTTTAGATATACTTTATGGCAGTTCAAATACGCACATGGATATTTTAATTCCTGTTTAGATCATTATTCACATTTATATAGCTACTCACCATTTACAGACTTATAAAGGCATGGCTTAATTATGTAAATGATTAAAGAACCTCTTAATTAAAATAAGTTTGTGAGAATTGTAGCCCAGTTGGCTAAGTATTTGATCTTGCATTAATTATTGGTAAACATTTAATTATAGCACAATTAGGGTTCAGCGGGGGTCTAAATTCAGAATTCTGTTTGAGCGCCTCTGAATAAAAATATGGTGGATTATATCGTATTATGAGAGCCATAGTAAGACGACTGAATCTTAGGGTGAGATCTAAGTGATTAGACTTTGCTCTGACTTAACTATCGAGCTAAGACACAGTCGGTATTTATAGAGCAAACTACGAATCTCTCCCTAGTGTTGGCTTAGCTTAATCTCAAGTCCACGAAATGACGACTTACCAAAAACTTTGACTATAAGCCTAACAAAAATAATGGCCCAAAATTTGCTTTACCATCATATCTTTTACTGGACTTTTTATTTTTGTCGTTTTTAATGAAGGTGTTGCCATTTTGTATCGGAGTTCCATAGACTTTGGGAAAAATAGAATTTTGAATTCAAAGAAATTATAAATGATCTTGATAAATACCTATGAAATGCATGAAATAAAATAATTACACATTATTATGGTATTTATTGTTGTTTATTTATATTATTTATGTAATTGTTCAAACCCCATTTTTGAGAAATCTTAAAAATAACTGGTGTGATTTTGTATGTCACCTGGCAGCCCTGGCAATTGGCATATTATAGTGACAACGAAATTCAAGCTATAACCTAACCAAAACATTGCGATCCGTTCTAGTAATAAAAATTATTGTCATCTTTAAATAATTAATACATTTTCTAAAGGTTACTCGTGAATTTCTAGTTATTGCAATAATAAAATAAATGAATACATAAATAACAATAAATTGAAGATATAGTGTACGTTTTAGATTTTTAAATATTTGTTATTGTTAACTTTTTTAAAGGATAATAAACAAAGTATTGCATGAAATGAAACATCAATTTGTATTTTGACATTTTCTGTCTTAGCTTGGGCTTAGCTTAATCTCACCGTTAAAATGTCTATAAATACGAAATCATTAACCTTAGTGTACACTAAGCAAAGTTTTTCGTAAGGTAAGTCTGAGCAAAGTCCAAGTGCGACTATAGATCTCACCCTTAGACCTAGTTCACACTTTACCTCGTCTTGCGCGAAGTCGCTATTCTATTAAGTACCACTTATTTAATACAATCTATCCATCCCGATCTACTACACTGGGAAGCAAACATATCTCCTGAGTTCTAATGCTAATTATAGTACTAGGTACTGTACGGGGCTCGGAAATGTATACATAAACCACTAGTGGAGCTGCTTTTACTTACGCGAAATTTGTTTTTCTCATATTTTATCCTTACATTCAGTGAAATTAATTAGATTTGCGAAGGCAAAGCACGTTGAAGCCGCCAACACAGACTTTGATCCTTCAAATTTAATTACATTTTTTTATACTTTTTTGTGTGAGCCTGGTTGAAGGTTGCGAAAACACAGCTAAGCACTCTGACAATCTTTTTAAAGTTGCAATCACTTAGAATATGCGTAATTTATAATAACAAACTTTATTTATCAAACCATTAATTAATGTTTTAGTAACAATATTTTGTTAAAAGTTACGATACTACAATTATGTTAAAGGTAAACTATAGTGCAGAAACTTAATAATTAGTGTCTTTCATGAGTGAATAATATATTCGTTTTAAGTATAATGAAAAATGACATAAACATCTTACCTACGTTTTTAAAAATCCGTTCCATGCTTAGGGGAATATAAGAAACCCAATTTTGCATTTAAATTATTAATCAAGGGTAAGAGTTAAATAATTAGTGTCTTTCATGAGTGAATAATATATTCGTTTTAAGTATAATGAAAAATGACATAAACATCTTACCTACGTTTTTAAAAATCCGTTCCATGCTTAGGAGAATATAAGAAACCCAATTTTGCATTTAAATTATTAATCAAGGGTAAGAGTTTTACTATTTATAAATGTGTATCACAGTATCACTGAAAGACTTCAACTAAACGACTGAGAGCCGTCTATTGAATTTTAACTCAATGCCTTAACATACAAACTGATGAAGCGAATTCAATGGTTTCTTATATTTGATATTTGGCAAATCGTCTAAAAATACACGTAGAAAAAGTATATATGTTATATTCATTACTAACATAAAACTCGTGGTCACTAGCTTTGTTGGCGATATTTCGTGGCGCACAACTAAGCGGTTTTTAATGTCATCCGCCCATGAAGTAATAAATGCTCTATTTTGCAGTGTGGAATCTTTTGGGAACTGAACGCTTACTCAGCGGTACTCAGACCGTAGACGTTTATGCTTTTAAATTTTCTCTATGGATCTCAAAATTCGTGTACTCTAAGACCTTACGTGTGTATTTTTGTGTTTGCCAACGTGATATATTTTGATTATTTACGAAAGTAGTAGCTAATAATATTCCTTGTTATAGTACAATAGTTAGGTATATTATATTATGCTACGTCACGCTATTGTGGGTTTCTAATAAGATTCTGGAGTTCTAACGGGACTATGGGAACCTCTGATAGACTTATTTTTGATGAACCTAAACTTTTAGCGAATTTTACTTACTCGCAGTGACACAATAACTATAATGGTAAATTATTCAATAGCTATTTCTTTTTCATATATCGTTTAAAATAAGATTATATATAACTTACCTATATAATATAGGTTTCAGGTTATCTAATATAATTTATATACACTACCTAAATTCTAAATAATTGTAGAATTCTTAAAATATGTTTTTTGTGGAGCATTATTAAAATTCCTTCTCAAATTACATCTGAAATATTGTTTCTTAGTTAAAAATTCTTGTGATCACAAATTTTTAAGATCCAATTAATATGATCCAACGATCAAAAACGTTAATTAGTTCAGAGTTCAAGTCAATTGTAACTTTATAAAGCAATGATAAACGGAAATTCTATTAATTGAACCATCAACTTCGACAGTTTTTTGTCTCTTCCAAGTTTTCTTAATTAGTCCGTTCTGAAGTTTTTTATGAAGTGCTTGTTAAGCTGTTG